GCTTATTATAGGGGAGGGCTTATTATTTTCTGGGGCAGGTGAGAAGTGAGGCATGCCTTTTACCTTTCCAGCTCCGTCGTGTTCCTCGCCATTGTGCTCAAGGAAGCGGCTGGTAAAAAAATCCCTTCTCGTGAGTTCAATCAAACTTCTTGAAGTCGTGAGAAGAGTTTTTTTTTACCAGGGGCTTCCCTGAACACAATGGTGAGGAACGCGACAGAGCTGGAAAGGTAAGAGGTGTGCCTCACGGCCCAACACCACCTCAATGGTAAAGACAGCCTGCCTGGTTCCCTTCCCCGCCGTCCCTTTAGCGAGGGGTGGCAGGTGGGGGGGAGAAGCTGTCCCTCTAGTGAGGGGTGGCAGGTGGGAGGGGGAGAAGCGAGATGCGCCTCTTACCTTTCCAGGTCCGTTGCGTTCCTCGTCCTTTCACCCAGTTCAACTCGCGAGGTTTTTTTTTACAAGGTGCTTCAATGTGCGAAAGGGCGAGGAATGCAGCAGAGCTGTCAGTCTCTGGTAGCGCTAGGATGCACGTCACGTTTCTCAATGGGCAAAAGGGGGAGGAACGCAACAGACCTGGAAAGGTAAGAGGCACACCTTGCTTCTCCCCCCCACCCCCGAACTGCCACCCCTCGCTAAAGGGATGGCGGGGAAGGGAACCAGGCAGGCTGCCTTTACCATTGCGGTGGGTGGTGTTTTTTTGCACGAGAAGAAGCAGGTGGGAGGGGGTGATCGCATTGCTGGCCTGCCGCTGTTTTTGCGGCGGGCTCTTTTTGCACAGGAGGGAAGGATGGGGGTGGAAGCACTTTGCTTCGCCTGCTGCTGTTTTTGCAGCGAGCCCTCTTTTTGCCCAACAAGCTGTATCGGTAGGTGGTACGGAGACTTCAGCTTGTCCAGAATGCAGCCGCACGAGCGATTGTGGGTGCACTCCGTTTCACCCATGTCACACCTATCCTCCGCGAGCTGCACTGGCTGCCCATTGGTCTCCGGACGCGCTTCAAGGTGCTAGTCGTTACTTTAAAGCCCTACATGGTATTGGACCTGGGTACTTGAGAGACCGCCTCCTGCCAATTACTATTAGATCCCATAGGCTAGGCCTCCTCCGAATTCCATCTGCCGGCCAATGTCGACTGGCAACTCCCCGTGGGAGGGCCTTCTCTGTGGCTGCTCCGGCCCTCTGGAACGATCTCCCCGTTGAGATCCGGACCCTCACCTCCCTTCCGGATTTCCGCAAAGCAGTTAAGAGCCACGATGGTGCAGTGGTTAGAGTGCTGTACTGCAGCCACTTCAGCTGACTGTTATCTGCAGTTTGGCGGTTCAAATCTCACTGGCTCAGGGTTGACTCAGNGCTCCGTCGTGTTCCTCGCCATTGTGCTCAGGGAAGTGGCTGGTAAAAAAATCCCTTCTCGTGAGTTCAATCAAACTTCTTGAAGTCGTGAGAAGGTTTTTTTTTACCAGGGGTTTCCCTGAACACAATGGTGAGGAACACGACGGAGCTGGAAAGGTAAGAGGTGTGCCTCACGGCCCAACACCGCCTCAATGATAAAGACAGGGGTGGCAGGCGGGGGGGAGAAGCTGTCCCTTTAGTGAGGGGTGGCAGGTGGGGGGGAGAAGCTGTCCTTTAGAGAGGGGTGGCAGGTGGGGGGGGGAGAAGCTGTCCCTTTAGTGAGGGGTGGCAGGTGGGAGGGGGAGAAGCGAGATGTGCCTCTTACCTTTCCAGGTTCGTTGCGTCCCTTATCCTTTCACCCAGTTCAACTCGCAAGGTTTTTTTTACAAGGTGCTTCAATGGGCGAAAGGGCGAGGAATGCAGCAGAGCTGTCAGTCTCTGGTAGCGCTAGGATGCGCGTCACATTTCTCAATGGGCAAAAGGGGGAGGAACGTAACAGACCTGGAAAGGTAAGAGGCACGCCTTGCTTCTCCCCCCCTCCCTGATCTGCCACCCCTTGCTAAATGGATGGTGGGGAAGGGAACCAGGCAGGCTGCCTTTACCATTGGGGTGGGTGGTGTTTTTTTGCACGAGAAGAAGCAGGTGGGAGGGGGTGATCGCATTGCTGGCCTGCCACTGTTTTTGCGGCGGGCTCTTTTTGCGCAGGAGGGAAGGACGGGGGGTGGAAGCACTTTGCTACGCCTGCTGCTGTTTTTGCAGCGAGCCCTCTTTTTGCCCCACAAGCTGTATCGATAGGTGGTACGGAGACTTCAGCTTGTCCAGAATGCAGCCGCACGAGCGATTGTGGGTGCACTCCAGTTCACCCACGTCACACCTATCCTCCGCAAACTGCACTGGCTGCCCGTTGGTCTCCAGATGCGCTTCAAGGTGCTAGTTGTTACTTTTGAAGCCCTACATGGTATTGGACCTGGGTACTTGAGAGACCACCTCCTGCCAATTACCTCCCATAGACCTATTAGATCCCATAGGCTAGGCCTCCTCCGAATTCCATCTGCCGGCCAATGTTGACGGGGGAGGGCCTTCTCTGTGGCTGCTCCGGCCCTCTGGAACGATCTCCCCGTTTAGATCCGGACCCTCACTTCCCTTCCGGCTTTCCGCAAAGCAATTAAGACCTGGCTGTTCCGGCAGGCCTGGG